ATATATATCGTCAAATAGAACTGCCCGGTAAACCGTAGGCAGAGAGGGAGAAGAGGACAACAAATGAGGGGCTGTGACAAACTGTTTCGTCGGAGTTTCACCGACTCATCATATATATATATATATATTTGGAGTATTTTTAGGGGTAAAAAATATATATATAAAACCAGGCCGCGGACTGGGCCTCATTGGCCGCGGCCGAGATTCTCGGCCGCAGTGGCCGAAATGCTCGCGGCCTAGGCCGCGGGTGTCACATAGACGGTGCGATGTATGCGGGGGAAGCGATGATCTTGGTATGGGAGCGTAGCGAGGTAATCAAGGTAAAGGGTATAGAGGGTGCGGGGAATCACGGCGCAAAAATCCTCGTAACCTTCGCCGGCGGGGATAGTGCCAAAAATTATGCAATAAACTTCTATATTATTATATTTCTGCCATGCCGCGCTGAAGAGAAGGACGTGGAGAGGGAAGGTGGTTACAATAGAGCGAGCGATGGCGTGCGGGAAGACATTGATGATGAGGCGGGTGGAGTAGAGCTGGTGAAAAAGGGAAGGGGGGAAGGGATGCCAATTAGAGGGAATAGGGGGTCGGCCCGTGAGCTGGTGGACGGCAAGAAAATCAAGGAGATGGCGGGATAACGACCGGGGACGAAGCCCGAGCGCCCTCATCTCCACGTAGGCGAATGGTGGGCCGGGGAGGTGAAGAGGATTGAGCCGGCGCTGGACTTTTTCTGTGGCATCTGCTTCTAGATCCCTCCGCGGTGGCTACGCCATTTCCTCCGGATTCCTCCTGCAGCAGCTCTGGATTGTGCGCCGGATCACCTTGTGACAGCCGTGTTGCTAACCCGTCCGATTCTTCCACTGACCGCTTTCCTTCCGCCCTCTATCGCCTCCTCTCAGTTGCTACTTCGTCCTCTTCCTTGCTCGCCCGGCACACTCCCTCCCAACTCACTCTCCTCTGACTCGTGGTAATCGGGATCGTCGGTTTCCGCCTCCAAGTCTTCTTCTTCTTCCTCTTCGCTTTCCTCTCCTCTTTCTTCCTTTACGTCATCAGCTACCCCTTCCACCTCCACTCTTTGAATGATCGGATCCCACAAGGTGAGGTCGGACACGTCGATTGCCAAGGAGTGGCCTGAGGAGGGGTAGTAGCAATTGTCACCATCAAGCTCCGTACACGTGGACCACAGTAAATGCGGTACCAATGTACGGGTAAGCGTCGCTACCATAGGTCGCTCGTCGCAGTGCGAAATGATATCCAGGGGCAGATCGTCCAGGAGTTGCGCCAGGAACACCAGGACCTCGTTCGTGATTGGCTCCTGATGGTCGTTCCTGACCTTCCCGAATAGAAGCCCCAACAGTTCTCCCTCCATGTTCGTTCTCCAGGCTTGGACGATCAGCAACTCCACCTCGTCGTCAAGAATCTCGTCCTCCTCGTCCTTATTGGCCGGCTCCGCCCAATGGAATACCACCTTGAGGAGACTGAAGCTAAGCGCGATGTACACGTTCCACCACCTTGCCCACTTGCCCGCCTCGAGGATCGGCACGTCCAGCTGCCGAATCCGAAAAGAGAGAGGGACGTCCGTAGCGGACTGCCAGAAGGTAGGGAGATGAGAGGGAAGCCCGAAGGTCGAGAGGCAGTGCCGGTTCATTGAGGCGGCGGAAAAGGAAGAAGCTCCGGGATGATAACCTCCGGTGTAGAGAGAGAGAGTCTGAGTTGGTTGAGGTCGATGTCGTTGGTGGACTCGACCCGATCGCCTGGTCGGGCTAGCAGCTGGATCCACGCCTCCGTGAGATCCCGGGCCTAAAGTCGCAGTTGCCGAAGGGCGCCCGTATGACTTGCCGGATGCAGCGTCGTACGATCGTCAATTAAGGCGACGATCACTGACACGTGGTTGTTGCCAGGCGGGGACAACCGCAAAAAAGCCAACGCCTCCGCCAACACTCTTGTCTGCTCGCTGGTGCGTGTGAGTTGAAATTCCGTCGCCTCATGGATGGCCGTTGTGCTGACAAAAGCCACAAAGCGAAGCAGATCAGGACTCAATCGTGGCCGCCGCACCTGTCGGATCGATGAAATATGCCCCCCGAGTCTCATTAGACGTTCACTGATGACCTGCTCGGTAGAAAAACTCATGGCGATGGTGGAGGTGTCAGAGATGGAGGTTGAGAGGAAGGGGAGTCAAAGTATTCGAGCTCAAGATCGTCGCCTTCCCCTGCAGAATCAAAGGATGACGTGGACGATGGCGGAGAAGGAGAAGGAGGTAAGGGTCGAAGATAGGACACTTGTCGGATGATCGATTGAGATGATCGACTTCCCGGAATCTCTGGCGCAAGCCACACCGTGTTCACTTTGCTAGGACCGAGCTCGACTACGTGAAATCGCCCGAAGAATCGTGGTGCATACTTACCTTGGCGAGCACATTTCCTCACCTGCACTATGTCCCCTAATTTATACTGGGGCCGGGGTCCAGCGTTCCCATGTCGGGCCTCATAGCTCCGGACCTGACGACCATGGGTCATTTCGGTCATCCGCTGTCTTTTTCGGGCTAACCGGGGGAGGGTTTTTTCCATCAATTCTAGGTGGCGTTGTGCCTTGTCTTTGACCGTCGTTCTTGTGGTCCGTCGCGCAAAGGTCGTTAAATTGGGGGAATATGTCCGAGAGTTGTAGGGCGTTTTGTATGGCCAGAGTCCTTAGGTTTTTTTTTTTTTTTTAGATTTGTTATTTCTTTTTAAAATTTTATTTGTTTTCTTCTTTTTGGCTCGTTATTCTCTGAAGGTGTCCGTCTCCCATCAGTAGGATGGGCAAAATCGAACGAATCTGCCTCGTTAACACGGCTACGTCCAGGCCTGGGTTTTGGGACATTGTACTTGAGTTACGAGGGGCTCTCTACATGTGCCTCGGCCCTCGGGTGATTTAACGACCATTTTGTCAAAATGGACATCTTTTATTTTTTGAACGAAATTGAAACCGATTTTTTTGGCCGAAAACTCGTCAAAATTTGTTGTTCCTGAGGGTCCAACGTTTGTAAAATGCTGGACCCCCTGGCTGTACATGGATCTCCCTTGAGACCAGCTACCTCCGATCTCCGCCGTTTGTAAAATTTGTTGTTCCTGAGGGTCCAATGTTTGTAAAACGCTGAACCCCCTGGCTGTACATGCATTCTGAGGAAATGGTTGACATACCACACGATCTCCACCGTCTGTCGCGTCTTACACGGGTAGGCCTCGATCCATTTCGAGAAATAATCTACAAGCAACAAAAGAATTGAATATTCACAGTTATTCGGTCCAGAGTCCACGATAATATCTGTTGTGTCCATGCTAACCCTTTGGGACCGTCGCTCGACTACAGTAGGTACCATCGACCTATGCGGCTGAATCGACGCCTTATCTGCCGCGCAAACCGGATAATTTTTGACGATGAATTGAACATCGTCCCGGATGTTGGACCAATACCACTCGTTTTTGTCAATTGCGGCTTCCGTAATTCTGACAGCAAAGTGAGCGGCGGTTTCCTCATGGGCCTCCTTAACCCAGTCGTACCTTACGAACGGATGAGGCACCAACATCCAAATCCCACTACCATCGGTCTTTCGTTTTTCTAATCGTTCGTCGTTCCATCGGTAATCCCGTGCCCGTTCGCCATTGTGTTTACGTGCAAGGATTGTGACAGTCTACCCACTCGAAATATCCCTCCCCACTAGGACGCATGATAACCGAATAGACCCGCGATATTGCTTCACAAAAATAACAAAATTTGGGGGGAGCATCACCTGGTGGAAACAGGGTCAGCATCCCTTGTATGAGTACACCTTATAACAATATGATGAATGAGTAGTGACAAGTCCAATACATACCATTGATTGATGTCCCAGCACCTTTGATACCAATTGCACGTAGAGTAGATGAACCTTGCGACAACACTCACCAAATGTGCAAGAAGTGAGAATGAATATTATCCTAGGACACGGAAAGATGCACTGCCGTAAGTGTTGTCTTTTGTGCATTTGTTCCGTAGTGCGGCTACTAGGCCAGATAGCATTTCTCAGAACGCACGATGAAAACTCACAACAGAATTCATCGAGTTCATGTCTAACTTAGGGCATCGCCACACCACTCTCGAAATGTGCAAAATGAGAATGAACTTCCCTTCTAGAACATGGTGAGCAATTCACACAGCATCCTATTGTCAAGGATTCAATCAACAAGTCATCAGTGTCGACCAAAAAGGTCTATGACCAACCGGGTGTGAGTGTGAGCGCGAGTGGGTTGTGTATGGTGTGTGGGAGAGTGTTGGCCATAGCCTCTGCTGCTACTCGATGAGGGGTGGGGGACGATGAGAAAGGGAGCCGCAGCTACTGGCAAAATGCTTGGTCTTTGCGTTAGCCGGACCCCCACCGGCGGCCCCAACCCATCTCTGACTACCGCCATTGGGGCGGGGCGCAACATGAATTACCTCGTTTGCGAGGCCCTATGCTTGCAGGGGTCCCCTCTATATAGTCTTAGGAGTAGTGGTAGGAAGGTAGTGAAAGGCGAAAAAAGAATTTGAGAGAAGAACATAGTGTAGTTAAAAAA